TCACCATTTCAACCATCAACAAACGCATGGAACTAAAACAAAGCTTAATATAAAGGAAAAGCTGGAGAGGTGATGGAATTACCTACGATGTCGGAATATACCGCGTTTACCCTATAACATGGTAAGTGGTAACAGAACTCTACAAGTTGCAGGTCTGAAAAGTCGAGCAGGGAAAATTCATGCTTAATACTTGAAAATGGCAGCTCCAAAATATAATTTAAAAAAGTTTTGGAATCTTGCATTTTGGTTAGGCTATGCAATTTTACAACAACTAAACAGAAGCTAATTCATCTATCTACTGTCATCTGTCAATACTACATAAGTTACCACTTGGCAAAAACTGCAAATACCTTGAGGCTTTGAGCCTTTGAGGTTTGCTATTGTCAATAAATACTGTATATTGTATAATAATACTCAAAAATACAATTTGCAGGGTTCTTTTCTAATTTCTCTATCCTAACTACACAACAATTATCAAGTACAAAACTGGGTGTTTTGATTGCATTAAAAAGATATGATTGTTTTATTTATCAGATTTTATCAATTGAAACATGCCTACTACCGGAAAAGTGTTGCTGGCAATTTGCCAAGATTAGCCTAGCTAGTGGCAACATACTTACTGTGGCAATGTGGCATTAACAGCCTGGAAGGCTGGAAGGTTTTGTATGCATGCAGGAGTTTTTATTTTTTTATTTGATGTTCTGACTTCGGTGATTTTAGCATATTTACCATATTTTTAATTAATTTCAACTGGTATCTCGTTACTTAATACTAATAGTAATTATTAAAGACATGAAATCGAAATGAAGAAACTTTCATGAAAGTATAACTACCTACGACAGTACGACTACGTATTTCTTGAGTGCCGACAATTAGCCTGAATTAGGTATATAAATTCTAAGCCTCATAAAGTCGACACTTAATTATAAAAAAAACGGTAATAACTCGAAATAAAAATCTTACCAAGGGATTGTTGAAGTCCAAACATAGCTTTTGTAACAGCGTAAATTCAAAATTAAGATTAAAATACACTAAACTTTCTAAGATTAGTTTTCTCAGCTTTTTACGAGTCGCGAGCCTCCACCGATTACTCAACTGCAGAATGATGAAAAAATGAAATGGAAGGTCACCAGACTAAATCCGCGGATCAAGATGTGCTGAAGCCATTACCATCATGGTTGAATTGAAATATTAGTTCAACCATGAATAACATATCAGATGTAAATAAAAATGCGCAGATAGTTTGCTCGAAGACCTTGAATCTTAATTATTTCTCTAACCAATTTTTATGGTAAATCTACGAATCTCCTGACTGCTCGTAGCAACAGTTTTTAGTGATGCAGGGTTCAAATAGATGCTAATTACCCAATGAAAACTATCCTTGAAGCAATTCAAGCTTGAGGTGTTACGTCTGACAAGCGGTTCTCATTTCTAACTACTCTCATTCCAAGAAAATGCTTCCTTGAATAAAAAATATGGATGCTGGTTTCTTCGGTTCGGAAGAGTGCTCTCTTCAGTTTTTTTTTTTTTTTTGTGAGGACGATGCAGAGAAAGAATGCCGAGTTGACCCCAAAGAGTCCATAGGTGAATTTCTGAAGCTCAACGGGGTTGAGCTTCAATTCAACGCTCAAATTCGATTTTTGTAGAGTTCCTCAAACCGTAGCAACAAACGAGAGGTTACCAAATTTACATTGCAACCAAAACAATATCTTTCTTGCAACCAGCGGCCCACAAATTGGTTTCATACTCAAATTTTGTTCAAATTTGAGTATGTGCGACCGAGAGCGGAGAGGTTGCGCTATATTTATTCTACCGTCCCACTACTAAATGACCCTGCACTGCTCATGTCCTCCTGCAGACACTGTCACGTAATATGCTCATTATGTATCGCATCATTGGCTCGAACAACAATTTTAGAATCGATTGTTTATGAGCTTTTGCTTACCTATATAAATCCACAAGATTCTTTGATATCTTTGTTGTCTACCGGAACTCTTGCGGATTTTTTTTTTTGTGCTGGCGCTTCATAAGTAGCCTCGAACCTCGATCCAAAACCTAGATGCAGGAAATTAGACCTCACCTCTGCGGGCTCCGCTTCATCTCTAACTGGTGCGTGAAGACGCAGCTGATCAGCAGAGCGTCTCACACCACCAGACTTGTATTAGCGCGTCGCCTTACCCCGTCAACCATACATCCCAGGCATCCTAGTATCTGATCTACCTCACGCGAGCGTCCTGAACTCCAGCTCAGCCCCCACTTATGTATCCTCAGTATTGTTACGCAGGTAAAAACGAGCAGAGCACGTAAGAAATATTGAACTAGAGCTTCAAGGTTTTGGTAACGCCATCGTCATACTTGTGTCCTTGTTCGATTCAGTCAGAATTATAAGTTCATCTTTATTCATTAATCATTAGACTATCTGAGTTAAACAGCTGGACTTGAACCCTTTGCGTACGCGAGTAAGGAACCTGACGCACTTTAAAATAAGCGTGTGCGGGGAGTCCTCTCGAGGTTTGAACTCAACTAAATCACACCTGCTGGCCTGTGCATGTCTGTCCTCGGCGATGTCTACAACCACACTGCTCGCTCCTTTTCCTAACAACACAATTGCGAGACAAAAATTTTCGTCCGAAATTCTATCAAGTGTATCGACACTTGATAAATGTGTGTATGTATGCCGTGCTTAACCGCCCGGCCTCATCGCCGATTCTGACCAGAAACTGTCGCACTGAGCTGGGTTCTACTCCAATCCTGGTACTCTGAACTGTAACCACTGGGCCACCAATGAACCATGTGTTTCTTCATTTAAGTATTTTTCATTTTGCGATGTATGTTAACAACTTTTATAAAAAAATTGAAGAAAATCAATGAGCTTTCTTACAAATTTATTGGGCTCAAACTGGTGATCATACGATAAACAATTCAACAAGCCTCCACAAAGCCTCAGCACAGGGACAATTGTGACTGAGTGAATGTATTGTGCCTGAAGTTGATGCTCTGAATTCACATAAAATTTCGAGCAAGATGATCGCATTGAAACAAACTCGAACAATACGCTAGCATGCCCGCTGTAAATGTATGATGGCAGTTATGAAAAAATCTTAACTAACCCTAGTTACACACAGCTACAGCTAAAATTCAAGTTTCAAGTGCAAAACCACATGTGTGACAACTTATCATATTCTACGTATAACTTAAGATCGATTTATTGCGTTCTTCATGAAAGCAACTGAACTAAGTCGACAAGTTTACTAATAAATATCTGCGTTACACTCATTAGAACTGAGGACTTGATACATTTTTGCACATACGTCAATAATAACAAGAACGAATAAGGGCAAGAATGCGTAAATCCTCCTTAACATCGATGTGACGATCAAGCTATTTCAACCCATAGCAACAAGTCTCCCTACATAAAAACATTCAAATAAAAAATAATATCCCCAATGAACTGTTGAAAAGAAAAATATTGTAAAAGTGGAATAAAGATAGTACGACAGTTTATTGTACATAGTAATTCAATGCATACTTGGATTTTGACACTAAACACCATAGAAGCGGTTGCGAATAGACGTAACTATGGCGAGTAAATCTTGAAAACCATGAGCCTAGCCAAGTTAAATCAACATAGCATTGCCCACACCAACAGTAATAAATAGCTCATACGTAAAAACATTCACACCAAGTCTTATTGAACAGCAATACATCTTAGGAAGTACAACACAAAATTCACATCTGCTTAATTCAAACTGGAATTGCAGCAATAACAGAGTTCTTCCATCATAATCTCAGTCAGATCATAAAGTAAGTTTTTTCTCAATTTTAATTCATGCTTCAAATTTAACATACATGAATTACACATTTAGCAAATATCTTTGTCCAAAACAAAATGTCGCATCAAAGCTTTTTCATACCGAACCACAACCATGTTAAAGTTTACATGTAACTAGGAATGATACGAACTAAAATAGAGTTTTCTTGAATACTTTCTTTCTCTTGCCTTGTTGAATTTAACGAAGTTGCTTAATACTTCCAAGAGGGATGCTACGAAGATGCGATATCAATTAAAAATGATTTCGATTTCATACAAAATAGAAAAAATATCAGTAATTGCCGAAGATAATTACAGCAATACCTTCACCTTGGTTAACATAAAATGAACAGAGTGAGTGCCATAGAAAGAAATTGAGGCAGGAGTGAAGCTCAATAATGATACAGTGAAGAATTTGAGGCAGGAAGGGTTGCACAATGATGACAGAAGTTAATAGTGCAGGGCAATAGTGTAGGTCTGAGCGATGTTGATGTCAGGCTTGCGGATGATGAGCCGACTAGCCACTCCGTCCCGTGCTGCGCTGTACGAGCCCTCCAGAGACACGACCTTACCACCTGAGCCAACAATCACCGGTGTCATAACATAAGCCGAGCAAGCAATATTATTCGAATTATGAATGCAAACGTAGAAACTTATATTATAATCCTGTTATGAACGGAAACAGGGTAATATTTGATTTTGACGTAAGAAAAATAGTACCTTAGCTTAGCCACTACATATTAAAAGGTACCTAGTTCAAATTTTACAACTGCCCACAGATGAGAAATTTTCTAACTATATTCTTACGATAATGGAATCTGAAATCACTAATGCAAATAATTCCAGTCACAAATAAGAAGTTACTTGTATTAAATAACTTCATATAATTAATAATACGACTTTACACGAATAAAATATAAAAAGAGCAGGTCTTATTGAACCAGAACCAGTACTTTTACAACATGTAATCGTAAGCTCACATAAATATTAGGATAATAACTGAACCATACGACTCACCTTTCAGCGTGAGAGTGACTTTAGTAGGTGGCGTAGCAAGGCCCAGCACGACGACCCTCTCCAGCCAGCTCTTGGTGGAGTAGGTGGGTGACTGAGGCTCCACCACCGAGCTGCTCAGCTCATTCTTGCTGAACTTCAGTTGTATGTACAGATACTCATTCTGTCGGGGACAATGAGTAAAGTTAATTGATCCACTCGCGCCCAGTGAGTCATTGGACGGAATAGTTGCATCGAAATAATCACGTATAAGTAAAAAACAATTATAACCACTAACATAACTCTTCTTGAGGTCTGAGAGAGAAACCACGTACGTTAGCCATGAGCGAGGCAACAAGCGTATCGGTACACTGCCGAACAAGCTTTGGTTCCACATAAAGCAGGACATTACTTGATGTGATAGGTCTTCATTATAAAATATGACTGTAATAGTCGCCGGCCCAATAAACTTGAAATGTAATTTGCAAATTTTGTACGGCTTCATAAGCAGGTTGAGCAAAATACTCGCTTTAGCAATGTGCAATAATGCCAAGATATACAAGAGCCATTCTTGAATAGATTTTGCCAGTAAACAGGACTCAAAACACAATGATGAAAAAATCGTTCGAGAGGTAGTCAATGAAAATTATTGGCTATGGCTACGTTTGCAAGTCTTTTGATAACAGGTCCTCATCATTGGTGAAGCTATCATGTGAAGTGAATGATACCTATGATCAAGCGTCATCATATAAACATGACCAGCTGTCTCACGAGTTGGTTCCTTGTACAACACAATTATTTTATTTTACTTGCTAATGATGCCAGTTATCACAGCCGAGAAACCACTAAACAGAGTTAATATTAAACATTTTACCTATTTATTTGCGTTCGGGTTTTCCTAAAATATTTCCATTCCTAAATTAGCAGAAGTCTGCTAGTGTCTGTTGGCAATTGATTTGCAGAAACCAGTGGATACCAAACAAAAACCGCTCGTGCTAATGTTCCTTACAACTGTATCAAATTAAATAAGATTCTTCACATCAACATTTTCATCAAACAATTCAGTGCAGACGTGTTGACAACATTTGCGGATTGATTAAATATTTTGTATACTTTATTTATTCATTTTAAGATCGCAGTTTATCGCTATTATGTCCACGACTGCGTATCAACGCCTGCACGCACGTTCTTATATGCCATGGTGTGTTCGTCATCAATGTAGAGGTCGCCAGCAGCGTTGCCGTCCTTATCGAGCGCGATGATGAGCGTGTAGGGGTCGTCTCTCATGAGCGCTGACGAGCGGCGCACACGCTCCTTCCGGGGCACGATGCTGCCTCCACGTTGGAATACGGGGATCTGATGAAGCCAAGAGTGTAGCACATTATAAAACATAAATGTACGGGGATCTGATGAAGGCAAGAGCACATTAGAGAACATAAATGTACGGGGATCTGATGAAGCCAAGAGCACATTAGAGAACATAAATGTACGGGGATCTGATGAAGCCAAGAGTGTAGCACATTATAAAACATAAATGTACGGGGATCTGATGAAGGCAAGAGCACATTAGAGAACATAAATGTACGGGGATCTGATGAAGCCAAGAGCACATTAGAGAACATAAATGTACGGGGATCTGATGAAGCCAAGAGTGTAGCACATTAGAAAACATAAATGTACGGGGATCTGATGAAG